AAAGTCCAACTGAGCAGTAGAGATATAGTCACTCAGGATGAAGGTCTTGTTTGAGAGGATCTCGCATTTAGCAGTGCCACTTAATAAGAGTATCTGGGATGTGGAGGTGATTAGGGCATAGTCAACTGGCTTTAGGTTCCAGAGGTTTGGATATAAAAGCTGTTTGTAAACTGACAGCAGATATAAAAGCACAAACATTTTCGCGACACCTAAATGTTAAATAATATATTTTCTACTTCCTCAATCTTGGAGACATGAGAGGGAGAAGTAGGGGCGGGCTTTAGAGACACAGAGCTCCTGACCGACTCCGTCCTGTTGGTTCAGTCAGTAGGTATCACTGACATGAGAGGAGAGGAGGGCGGGCTTTGAGAGACTCTTACAGTCTGGAGAGAGAGACGAGACCGGAGAGAGGAGAGAACAACTGAAGTTGAGAAATGAACGACTCTTTTCAGTAAGTGATTCAGTTCAGTTCGTTCACCCAGATGATTCGTTCGTTTTGAACGAATCGTTCATGACGACACATCACTACTTTTATTGGGATCAAAGGTTTTCCGTCGCATAGCCTGAATGTGTTTGCAGATTCTGAAGAAGTTGATGAGAAACATAAATGTTTGAAGTTGGACGAAGCTGAAGACTTCACAGGTCACAATGAAGACTCTGGTGTTTGTGTCTCTCGTGGGATTATTCCTCCACGACACGACGGCAGGTGAGTTCAGATTCATTGAAGACGATTTAATGGAAAGAGGGAAATGTCGCATGTCTTTATAAGGGTGGTTCTTTGACTACAAACACTTTCACATTCTCTTTGATAAATAAACAATAAAACTGTCTTAAATGTTTTTACCTTCTCTCCAATATGTATTTTACTTACGTTTCAACATCTTTATATGCTTCAATTAGGCGCGGAGCCTGTGGCTCATTGCAGAGGGGGCGGGGACCAATAGTGGGCCCTTAAACTGTCTATAGGCTATATAGCATATGCTGTAGCCTATATAGTAATATAGTATATCATTTATGGTTTAGTATCAGCTGTATGGAGATACAAGACGGGGCGGGACGAAGAGAAATGGCGCTGCAGATTACAAAGGGTGTTATTACAGTGACAGGGACTTATCAGTGAGTGACCTGCTGATGTTTAAACAGAACAAGTGCTGATATGTCTGTGCGCATATTCCACCGATTAAACAAGTAAAGCAGACTTCATTAACCGGACGGGAAACCAAAGATAGAAGGCAACTACAGTTTAACATTCAGGGAAGATGGACGCTCATCCAGCCACACAGATAATACAATAAAACCACACATTATCAACCCATAAAACCACACATTATCAACCAAAAACCACACATTATCAACCCACAAAACCACACAGTAAACAGAAATGAAGTAATAAAGTAATAAAGTAATAAAGTTCTGGTGTGGTACAAGGGCAAAACAGTGACAATGAACTTCAATATCACTGTTTTGCCCTTGTCCCACACCCGAACTTCATATGTTCAACAATGAAAATGTAGTTATAAATCGTGATTAATCATATCAATGTTGATGTACTTGTGTTAAGTAGCACTTAAACAATCAAAAAACATGTTAGTATTTTGTGTGTAAATATGAATTTTTACTCAAAATATATCTGTCACTCAGTTTAACCGTCATTTCCACCACACTGCAGGAATAATACTGAACAAGGTAGCTGCAACTCATAATAATAGATAACACTATGTTTTCTAATACTTACAGTTTTTGGTGTGCAGGTGACACTTGGCATTCGTCGCTGGCCACAGACTCCATGACTTCACGTTGTTCTATAGAAAACAAATATCTTATAATAAATACTAAATATTCATTTTCAATTGTCATGTTCACCCACATCGCTGTTGACATCAGTAAATATAAGACACAGACATTCCTCTTTTTGTCAGAACAGTAACAGTGATTTCTTCTGGATGTTATAGGACCATGAATGTTAAAATAGCAGCATAACTACAGTGAACACAGCAGATAGACTCTGATTCAGAAAGAAAAAGGAACTAAATGCCTTCAAAGTGTTTCACCTCTAAAACCATTAACAGAGCATTTAAATGGACTCTTTAAGTCCTTCATGACACTTTAATGTTAGAAAAAGTGTTTTGTTATTAATGTAGTATAATTAATGTGGTATAAATACTTATTTCACTTGAATGAATTGTGATAATTAACATATAATCAGAGTGTCACAGTCATTAAAGTTCATTTTGTGAGGATCAAACTCAAATATGTGCTCAAAGAATCAGAAACATAATCAACCTCCTGACCCTCAAAATGAAGTTAATCTCGGTTTATTGTTTTACCTCTGAATATTTGTATATGAAATATGAATAAGCTCAAAGCTATTCCACAGATGATCTTCATCTTTTACATGTTTGTTTGTTGTTTAGTTGAGATCACATAAACCCTGAAGCTCCAACATTTCATTGAAGTCAAACATCAGACTGTTTAGTGGATCTAGAAACACATATCTGCTGATGTGAGCTTATTGCACATATTTAGTTTTCTGTGCTTATGTTGGCCGATAAGTGACAGAAAACAGTGAAGCAGCTTGAACATCATTTAGAAACAGAGTCTGCATTACAGAGTTTGTCCACCAGAGGGCAGTCACGACTTTATTCTCAAACTGAAACGTCACAGCTCAGTTTGTGTTTCCCACACAAAAAGAAATAAATGGTTTTAATCTGTGAAAGTCAAAAAAACATCCACAGCAGCCTCAACAATTCAGCATTAATAAGACTACAAAGTTTGTAGACTTTATTCAAAGTGGTTACATTTATTCCTGCACAGATTTATCTAAAAGCTTTTTTGTTCTGAGCAGTGCATATTTTTCTAAAGAGCAGATTAAAAACAGAACAATGATCGACGTGCATTCAGAAAGCAGACAACATGCAGGATTCAGAAATGATCTGTCATTTAGTTGAAGTTTTTTAGTTGAGTTTTTTCTAATTGAGTTTTTCTGCGCTGGCTGATTGTGCAGCTCCACTCAGTCTACACAGCTTCTTAAACTGTGCTCCATATACTGTTCAATAGTTTTTCTTTGTTGCTGTCCTCCAACACTGTCCTTTCAAAACTCAAATAATAAAACCCGCCTACGTGAGGACTAGTCATGAGATGTCAAGAAGTCAATAAAAAATCCACTTAATGAAACATATCTGTCAATGAAAGTCAGGGGCATGACTGCATCACTTGAATATTTGACTTGTTGAATAAATAATTTCAGTATAAAAACATTTTCTAACACTTGAATCAGAAATATCAGAATAAGAGTTCCAGGAGAACTTTTTCTTTTCATCTCTAAATTAATTGGAGTATTTAATGACTGCAGAGAGATGATCAGGTTTGGTTGAATGTACTGGAAGTGTTTTTTGATTCTGTGTGCTGGATAATAACTTTTGTTCAATGATGCAAAAAGTTTCAGATTAAACTGATGAAAACATTTTGTCCTTACAGAGATGCACTCTCTGAAGTATTTCTACACGGCGTCTTCTGAAGTCCCAAACTTCCCAGAGTTTGTGGCTGTTGGGATGGTTGATGATTTTCAGATAAATTACTACGACAGTAACACCAAGAGAGTAGAACCCAAACAGGACTGGATGAAGAAAGTCACAGATGATGATGCTGAATACTTGGAGAGGAACACTGGTAACTTTGTGGGTCACCAGCAGACCTTCAAAGTCAACCTTGACATTTTAAAGCGGCGCTTCAACCAAACTGGAGGTTTGTTTATGATTCAATTTATACTGAAAAAAGATTGTTTATAACACACACACACACACACACACACACACACACACACACACACACACACACACACACACACACACACACACACACACACACATATTAAACACACACACATTAAACACACACACACACACACACACACACACACACACACACATTAAACTTAGACACACACACACACACACATACACATATTAAACACACACACACACACACACACACACACACACACACACACACACACACACACACAGAGTCAGGAGTGTGTGTTCATGGTTGAATCTGTTGGATGAAGTCTTTCCTCGTCTGAAACAAACAGTCAGACTCAACAGAAACATCTCAGAGACTCAGACTCCTGGATGCTGCTGTACTGCTCTGATTCAGTGTTTCTGTCCATCCCATAATAATCTACAGACATTATTAACACTTGATCTCCACTAGATTACATCACAAGAACTCTACTGAGCTGCCCACATGTGAACTCTCCTTTTAGAAAAACAAACCTGTTCATCACAACAAACCAACAACACACAGCTGATAGAGGAACATTACTGCCTGGTTTCTCAAACTGAGGAGCAGGACCCCAAATGGGACACAGGCTGCTTCTGCTGGGTCCTCACATGAGAGGAGGAGCAGCATGTTTTCATGAAGCTGACTGACAGGACACCATGATAAATATGACCATCAGATCAGAGGGGTCAAAGGTCAAACAGCACAACTCTACTGTACTGACCTCCCTGTGTCCGAAATATGAACAAGAACAACTACAGATTATATTCATTTAGATTAGATTCATTTAGATTAGATTCATTTAGATTATATTCATTTAGATTATATTCATTTAGATTAGATTCATTTAGATTATATTCATTTAGATTAGATTCATTTAGATTCATTTAGATTATATTCATTTAGATTAGATTCATTTAGATGAATGTGATGACGGTGTGTCTGTCTCATAATAAACTCTTTAAATGAATGACTTTCTGCTCAGTGTCGCTCAGACTAAAGAAGTCATTTAAAGATTTAATCTCAGCCTCTGAGAAGTTGTGATGGACTTGTTTGACTTTTTATTGACATTTAACAGATTCAAACATTTATTGATTGATTTAAAAAAAGCCGTTACATCATCAATAATAACAAGAATAATGAGTTAACGCTCTAAATATGTGGTATGAAACATATTGGATTGTATGAACTGGACCGTACTGATGTTCAGGTTCCATCCCAGATTCTACATGTGAATTATAAATCTAGATTAAATGAGATGAATGAAACTTGAACAGTGTTTGTACGCCATGATTCACTCATCAGGCTGAACAGTTCAGTCCATTCATTGATGAGATGATCCACAGAAAATGAAGGGACAATCATTTTGATCATGGACTCATTATTTCAGTCTCTTGAATCCAAAAGGTCCAAAATGTTTTTTCCAGTTTGTCAAATATGACAATTAGCTGCTTTGATCAGTTTGATATGATTGTAAATGAAACAGCGTTCAGTGTTATTCTGGAGCTGTTTGAAAAGTTCACCTTATTCTTTGTTGACGTTTCAAAAGAAGTGGTTGGTTCATGAATCAATCCAAATAATGTGATCATGAATCTTTATTCTGAGCTCTTCATAAAAAGTCCAAGTACACATTAGATGAGATGATCTCCACTGTTCTGACCTCAGTGTTGGCTCGTCCTCTCAGGCAGCATCAAACAAACATCTGCAGCTGGAAACAGCTGTTGTTAGTGTTGAATGATTGACAGATGGATGAAGCAATCAGGACGCACAGACTGTCTCCCAGTCTCCATACTGGTCCTGGTGGTCTCTGCCTTATTGTGAGCAGCTGTAGTAACACACTGCTGAACTCTGTGAGGGCCGAGCAGGAGGAGTCTACAGACTGATCCTGGACTGAGACTCTCCTTCAGAGGAAACTTGGAGAACAGCTCGGGACAGTCGAGTGTGTGGTTTCTCACAGGACGAGCGAAATGTTGGACTGATCCACAGAGAGTCCACGTTCAGTCCAGGACCAGTTTAATCTGAGTCTGCTAGTCAGGACTACAACTCAGAGAGAGAGAGAGACTCAGTGTGTCTCTGATGTAATAATAAAGGATTTAAACTATACCTCTCTCTCCCTCTCTCTCAGGTGTTCACATTGTCCAGGTGATGGAAGGCTGTGAGTGGGATGATAAGACTGGTGAGGTTAATGGTTATTATCAGCATGGTTATGATGGAGAAGACTTCATAGTTCTGGACCTGAAGACAATGACGTGGGTCGCTGCACAACAACAGGCTGTCGTCACCAAACAGAAGTGGGATAAAGACAAAGCTCTGTTAGAGTATAATAAGTACTACCTCACCAAGATTTGTGTTCACTGGCTGAAGAAGTTTGTGAACTATGGGAGGAGCTCTCTGATGAGAACAGGTAGGATCAAATGACCTGATGGAGTTGAATTCTGACAATGTTCATCTTCTTCTTTTCTTGTTTATCTTGTAATTGAACAATAAATATTTCACACATGTTTCTATCACACATGCTCTGTCTTCATCTTTAAGCTTCCCCTTACCTTTCCCTTCATGTTAGATCTCTTTCTCTCTGCTGCTCATCGCTCTCTCTCAAAGTTTCTCTGTGTTTTTATTGTACTTTCTCTCTCTCCTCTTCTTCTTCTTCATCAATCCATCTGAACCCCCCTCACCTCTCTTCTTCTGTTTCTTCCCCTCTGACCCTCTCTTCTTTGAATTATACTTTAATAAGGTTGATTTTCATTGTTGACTCACTGGATTTTAAAGTCCCTTTTTTTCCCAGTACATTTAAAAAGTGTCATCAAACATGAGTTGTAACAGTATTTAAGAGTAAATCCTGATAAAGAAACTCTAATCTGTCTTCCTGTTTGTCCTCCAGACCTCCCCACAGTGTCTCTCCTCCAGAAGACTCCCTCCTCTCGGGTCACCTGCCACGCTACAGGTTTCTACCCCAACAGAGCCATGATGTTCTGGAGGAAAGATGGAGAGGAGCTTCACGAGGACGTGGACAAGGGAGAGATCCTCCCCAACCACGACGGCTCCTTCCAGATCAGCGCTGACCTTCAACTGCCCTCTGATGACTGGGGGAAGTACGACTGTGTGTTTCAGCTCTCTGGTGTGAAGGAGGACATCGTCACCAAACTGGACAAACGAGAGATCAAGACCAACTACGGTAAGACCTCGATGAGAAGTGATGAAAGAGAGGATTTGACTGTAACAGTCGTGTGATGGAGGGAAAGTTTAGTTGTGACTTTTTCTTTCTTTCAAACTCTTCAAATTGTAAAAGTATTCAGAAAAAGAGTTTAAAGGTTTGGATCAGGATGAAACAAACACAGAGATCTTTAAAGAGATTATTAATGGACAGAATCGTTTTGTTTTTTACCGTCTGTCCGCTCGTTACCACAGTGCAGCCGCATTAACCTTTAAATGACTTTAAATCAATAATATTGAGAAAAAAGGGTTTGAATGTAATCGTTAGCGGTTACCATTGTGCCACAATCAAACATGGAAATAAAAGACATAAAGGTGAAGGGAAAAAACAACTACATGTAGAAAATGAATCAAAGGTACAGTGATGAAGACGAGCTAACTGACAGAAGGAGAAACTTTGTCTTTAATGAACCTTTAACCTGTTTGATCACAGGTTGTGTGACTGTGTGTTGTTTGTGTTCAACAGTGAATCCCATCTACATGATCATTGTCATCATTGCTGTTGTTCTCCTTCTTGTAACCATCGTCTGTCTGGCTGGATTCTGCCTGTATAAGAAGAGAAATGGTGAGAGAGCAAAGTGGAAACATTCAAACATGTTTTTTATATTTACATCTGGTGAATAGTTCTCTTGAGGGGACCTTAAATAACCTTCAATGAAATAAATCTAGAACAATCTTTTTTTTTCTGTTTCAGCCAAACGCCCTCCATCCGTAAGTAGAACTTGATTTTATTATATTAAGTTTGACCTTAAATGAACTCTGTAAATGAAAAAGGGTTTCTGGAGTGTTTTCTGGTGTAAATGATGGTTTCAGAGTCGGATGTGTGCTAACATTGTGTTTCTGATCTTACAGCGGTAAACGACCCGGCTGTGCAACAAATGATGCTTCCAAATCAAAATACCTAAAGACAAAGAGAGGACCCTGAACCCAGTGAGTTACATGAAATAAGCCTTTAATTCAGGATATAGTCATTGTTCTGGTGTGTGTGTGGTAAGTCAGGAAGACACTGCATGTAAACATTACTTCTGCTGCTGCGTCACCTGGACAGAGGCGGTAACCACAGCTACAGGCAGAGAGAAAAGAGAGTCACAGGTGAATGGGGAAGAGGAATCAGGAATCAGAGGAAGACACACAGTTTTTAAACCGTGTGTGTGTGTGAATGTGTTTTTGAGTCCTGTCATGTTTATTATCATGTTTTCATATACGAGCTTATTCTTTTCTTTTTGGTTGTTACAGTAATTCTTTAAATCTGATTATAAAACTGCATAAAGGAGATCGTTTCTTTGTTATTGTAAAAAAGTTGATGACTCATTTTAGTGAAAAAGTGTATTTGAAGTGAAGGGAGATGATTTAAAGAAAGGTGCTTCAATGATGAAATCACTGTGACCTTTGACCTTGATGTTAAAACCTGGATTTGTGGATAAATTCTGTAAAAAAAGTGATGATAAATATTTTTTAATGTCATGTTTTCTCTTTCTTCTGTCTTTTTCTCTAAAGGTTTACGGGTACGTTCTGCACTGAAACAAGGAGCAGACCGACACGCTCTCCTCAGAATTCATTGGCTCTCATCGTATCAGACATGAAGTGATCAGAGTTAGGAATTTAAATTTAAATCTTTGAAATACAAAGAAAACGAGTTTGAAAAAGAGTTGACAAATACTTTACAAATCTTGATGATTTTTTTTTTGTCACCTGGAGAGAAGAGAATCAGAAGATGAATCTATGACGGCATCACGCCGCTCTTCATGTGTTGAAGAAAGATTTGTGTGTTGATCTAAAATCCATCATAGTTGGATTTTTCTACTTCTGGTGTTCGGAGCTTTGTGCTAAAACAAATGTTGGACAGGGACACGGACACACACACGCTATTTGAGCCTTTACTGTAGAGATAGGACAGAGGATAGAGTCTGAAATCAGGGAGAGAGAGAGAGCGGGGAATGACGTGCAGGAAAGGAGCCACAGGTCGGATATGGACCTGGGCCGCCCGCTTGTAGGACTATAGCTGGTTTTGAGAGGTAGAGCTGGTCGGGGGTGAACAATGGGCGGTCCAACATCTGCTATTATTATTGCAAATGCTGTGTTACAGCTGGTTGGGGTACTAAAGGGCAGGTCCCACATCAGATCATGAATGCCTCCTGTAGAGCTGGACTAGAGAGAGGGAGGCAGTGAGGCACATAGATTATATGATGGTTCCCCTCCTCTCTTTTCTCTCCTCTCACCTTTAGTGTTGGACTGCGCTCGGCCCCCTTGGACTGTGGACATGTGGATAACTGGCTTCTTTGAGAATTGCTTGGTTTACAAAGATTTTTAAGCTGAACGGGACCTCAGAGCTTGGGGTCATCAGAGTCACTTTTGCTGTCTTTTAAAGCAAACACAGGGAAAAATTATGAAGAGAGTTTAGTTAAACCAAGCTTCTATATTTTACATTGAACCAAACAAGATCAGAATAAATCTGCCCCTGTGTGTGAATTCAGATCCCGTGTTTGCTTGCAGAAGTTGTGTGACTGGTGTCTGTCACGTGTTTTAATCAAGGGGCCAAGTGGTCGTGTTTTTCCATAAAAACATTGATTGTGCCGTGTTACTACCTCTGCTGCTGGCTTCATGGAGGAACAACATTAACCACTGGTTGGATTTTAACATTTTATACAGAACAGCGAGGTGAAATAATGGGACAACATTCCCACAGTAAAACAGACAGTTAAAAACACAGCTGGATTGACAAACAGCTGGGTTTACAACTGGAATAGAAAGTGAGGCTATAAGTACAATAAAGCCCCACAGTGATCAGTGGGAGTCAATGAGTGTGTGTTTGGACGTTTCTTACGATGAAGATGGAAAGAAAGGGGAGGGGGAGGAGGGGTTTGAAAGAGAGACATCAATCTTGTGTGTGCCCCCTGTGGTCCAGGGTACCTGTCCTGTTTCTGACATCAACAGAGCCGAGCCTTCTGGGTAGTAATCAATCAGTCACACCTCGACAAGCTGGCGGAACTGAATGGTGTATGAGAGTGTGTGAAAGACGAGTGTGCATTAGTCAGCATGCTTAGTTTACAGGACAGGCGGATTGCCTAGTGTGAGCGCGCCCTTAGAGGGAATGGGGTTGTGTCGATTATAGTGCCCCCTGTGGAAAGAGCAGGACGATTCATGTTTTTACTTAGAGTCTGAAATCAGGGAGAGAGAGAGAGCGGGGAATGACGTGCAGGAAAGGAGCCACAGGTCGGATTTGAACCTGGTCCGCCCTTAGGACCATAGCCTCCATTCACCAGCTCCTCAGTACTGTTTATTTCTGCATAAGTAATGAAGTGTGTTGATTTAAACGAGGCTCAAGAGATTTATAATGTTTGTGTTTTAAGGTTTTTCATTAGTAATCAGGACTATGTTGTTTTTTCTTCTGTGATATATATTTTTATATTAAGTTTAAATGCTTCAGCTGATCACACATTGATGTGATGAAAAGAAAAGTTGTTAGTTTTATTTGAGTTAAGATCTTGAATGGTTGGTGGGATGTTGAATGTTTCTCTGTGAAGCTGTCTGTAAATATAGATTTAGTGTTTCAATAAAGCCCTTAAACATTCAAAGTGTGTGTCTTCTTGTGATTTCACATAAAGTGTCTGAATAAATGAGGAGCAGATTTCCAGATATGAAGACCTGTGTGTGTTTTCCATAAATGATAATAAAAGAAATTGTTAAAAAATCTTTTCACATAAAAAAGAAAATGGTACTGCAGATTTTCTTTCAGTCTTTTTCTGTTGTTAAAAACTTGTTTTCCCTGCCAAACATTAAAAACATGTTGGTCTCTGATATGAAGCTCTGGTGTAAGTTCAGTCAGGAAGACTTTATATTTGCCTTCACGATCGGGTCTTTCTCTCATTCTTCCCTTTTTGCACGCTCGCTCACGTTTCCCCTGTTATTCTCCAGCTGTCATTGGATAATCAGCTGTCTCGTCAGCGGTACTCATCTAACCAATGGCATGGCGTTCCTCCTTCATTGTCAGCCTATCATCGTTCTGCTCTCTTTTAAATGTGATTCTTTCTCTGCCTTTAGTTCCTTCATGTTGATGTTTCGTGCGCCCCTCCACCTCCCCATCACCGCCCGTTTTCACAGAATCATCATCCATCAACTCTTCACCCATCCGGTCTCATCATGTCCTCAGCTTCAGCACCACCAGGGTCTGGACTCCATCAGGGGATTTATTCTGTCAACACTCAGAATTGTTATTCTTCAAACATCAATCACCCCCATAGAGTCCAAGCTCCAAAGTATTTCTGTCAAGTCACATTTCCATCTTATCCATTATAATAAATCATTTTTTTCTTAATTCACTCGTCTCTCCTGATTTAAATTCGACTACCTATCCAAAAATATCACTCCAGAGGCAGAGCACAACATCGACAGCTGTTCTTCAGAGATCTAATCAGCATCAAAACTATCCTAAATATCTTCATCATCATTATCAAACAAAACCATCATCATCAATAATATCATTAAGGTGGTAGGTGGTCATAAAGAGCTGGGTCTTTAGCTTTTTCTTAAAGGTGCAGAGGGACTCTGCAGATCGAATGGAGTTTAGTTCCTTTCACCAGTAGGGGGCGACAGAGGAGAAGAGTCTAGTTAATGAACTAAAGCACAGAAACAGGAAGTGGTTGTGGATCATAAACTGATGTCAAAAGGCTCAAAGGAACGGTAACAAAGGTCAATGTGTGTTGTTGAAAAGGTTTTTTTTATTTTTATTTTATGTCAGTGACCGGAAGTACTTTTACTCTGTGGGGCTCCGCCCTTTACATTTACAGTCTAGGGGGCTCTGGGGTTCACAAGTTTAGGGATTCATAATATTTACAGTCTATGATTCATACCAATCAGTCAGTCATCAGTGATCTGTCGATAAGCACAAGAGAGCACAGATGATGAGGAGTCCATTCTTTTGTTTTAACTGGTTTAACTGGTTTAACTGGTAAGAACTGGAAAAAGATTAACCAAGATAGATCAATCACAAACATTATCTAGTAATCTAAAAACTTCTCCAAATCTGCTGCTGAATTAACACAGAGAATAACTCATAAACTATTTAAGGGTAACTCACATATTTTGAAGAAAAGTAAAGAAAACTTTAAACGATATGATAAATTATATGATATTAAAGGTTCAATGAAAACAAATGGAGGTTATGTAATATATAAAAGGTCAAATAAAATAAATAGATGTAAAATAATATATAAAACCAAGTTTAACAATAAGAAAAACGGTGTTTTGTCTTGACTCGACTTCAGTGCAGTAACGTCCTGTGGCCACATGAGGGCGGTGTTGTTTTAACGGCTCACTCAGCAACATTCAATCAACTGTAAAACTCATACAGAACAGCAAACGAGTGCTTCCGGTCAACGGTTTTTAAAAAGAGCTTTCTTCTAACTAACATGAATGTATAACGTTGATCTTTTTAACAACTTTAACAGAACAAATAAACTAACAAGATACACAATGAAACTTTACAAACTTTCGCTCTCCCAGTCACAACAAAAACAGAAATAAAACGATGTGTTCTGTTTGATTGTGTTGTTGTAGTTTTCTATGTGTCCACTAGAGGGAGCGCAGTGTCTCTAACAGTCTACGGTCAGTCCTCATGGACTTATGACTTGAGCTGAAGGTACTATAATCTTAATAGTTTAAATTAACTGAAAATGATCAATCAGACCATAAAGTATATTTAATAATATAACAATATGTATTTGGTGTGAGCTGATATTCTAGTTATTTCATGTCATTACATAGTCAAAATATGTCCTTATGTCTTTTCAATTGGCACACACATTGTCTCTCTTCTTGTTTAATGTCATTATGTGGCTACAATAAAACAAAAGTCACTCAAATTATTCGTCAGTTAACTTGAACTGAACATTTAGCTGTAACGTGTCTTTCACTTAAAACCCAGAGACTAAACTCTGCTGTATTTTCCTGCACAACATGAGAGAACTGTGTGTCAACCACTCAACTGAGCCAAGTAGCCGACTGATTCTGTTGCTTAGTAACTTCTGACTTTGCCTCGTCTGATATTTCACTGTGTTAATCCTAAAAAAGGATTTCATTGCAAGAAAGCAAGTTAAAATCTTACTGCAGGAATGTGAGACAAAGTGAACTGACAATGTGACACATATTTGCAGTGTATATAACGCACACTGCACTCCTTGTGCCTGGACTTGTTAAAGTACAATCTATAAATAACAAAACAAAAACATCCTGTCAGTCAGTGAAGAGATGAACATGTCTCAGTTTATTTATGTACAGAAATTCAGATGAAAAGAAGGAGTCAAGTACAGAGGCATTTATATTTCTGAGAACTTCAGAAAAATAAGACTGACAACTCTAAGTATGTTTGTTTAAAAAAACAGAAACTGACAGAAACATTTTTGAAGAACAGAAAAAGCTGCTCTAAAAGTTAAAGAAAAACAAAATCCTGCTCCAAGATTGAGCCTGTAAAATATGTTCCTGACAGTTACTGTTAGGTGGGGGTTATTTCTGTAGTAGATGGACAATTATGAAAACGTGAAACAGACTGTGGATCATCTTAGATTTATTCAGCCATGGTCAGACAACACAGAAACACAACACACATGGCTGACAAAGTGCAGACCATCGCTGACCCACGCTGACCAAGATCTCACAATCATTGACAATCATTGACAATCATTGGCAAAATGGCAAAATGGACCAAAGTCTTCATCACACAGTGTGGCTTATATTCTGCTAGAAGGTACAGCCAACAAATTCCTTTCCATTTGGGTACATCACTATAAAACAATAAAGATGACATGACACTGATTTGTATACGTATCAGATGTAGACTCTCTGTCTACCAAACAGTTGTTGACAACATATAGTTGGCTCCTATCCAAACACAGATCTGCTACAATTTACATGTTTCATCATATAAGGTTA